TACCAAGAAAGATAGACTCGTAACTAGACAATACGATGTACGACGAACCATCCAAATGTTTCTTCCATCACATTTTTATTTTCACTGTTTTTGTTGATGCATAAGCAATGTGAGCAACCAAAGCTGAAATCAGCAGCGAGCTGGCCTATGGAGTAACCAGGACGTGTGGAAGCCCCAGTAGCCTTTGCTCCAATGTCAAGATGAATTGTCGGCGAGTATAGCTACGCCACCTGCACCAGAATGTGTCCGTATCGCGAAGTGCCTAGAGATAATCCGCAGGAGTTCGGAGTGCTTTGCGATGTTTTAATGGGTTCCGTCGTACCACCAGCACCCTAGAGCTGGGCGCCGGTACCGAAATTGCCAGTGGCACGTTAACGGTGGCGGGGAGGGGGGGTGGGGTTTGATCAATTGATTTGATTGATATGTGGTGTTTAACGACCCAAAACCACCATATGATCATAAGAGACGTCATAGTAGAGGGCTCCGGAAAACTAAGCCACCTGGGGTTCTTTAACGTGCACCCAAATCTGAGCAAACGGCCTACAGCATTTTCGGCTTCATCGAAAGGGGTAGTATTAAGAATTAAGTTGGTGAGCATAAAAACTCGTCTCTTGAATTTCAAAAAAAAAAAAAAAATCTGTTTACCCGAAAGGGCGGAGCAGTTAACGTAAACGTAGCATGTCTTAATCTTTCTTACTTACAAATACTGATGTCTCAGTCTTCAAGACATAGAATACTTTTTTAGCACCTTAAAAAAATATAATTTATCAAAATACTTAATGTGGAAATATATGAGTGCACAAGGCAGAAGAAAGGTAGCACTTGACAAGAAAGATGCTCAAGTGCTTTCTTCCTTCTCCCTAATACGCGCTAATACATTTCCACATTACGTTGCATTAACTGGCCCTGAAGTCCACTATTTATGTCAAAATACTTGTTCACACAATTCCTTTTCAACACAAAAGTGTTTTATGCTGGAGTGTGCCGCGGTTACACTGATGTATTTCCAAGACAAATATAATGATGCAAAATATATACTCACAGATTGCAAAGAAAAAAAAATGAGAAGGAAAGGTTCTGCTGCTGAGCGTCGAATCAGCGACCTCTCAATCCGCAGCACACGGTGCTAACCATTAAACCATGAAACGTATATTGTCTGTAAGACTGCTAACGGCAAGCTAGTTATATACACCATATACAATTTGGTGGTCCTGAGAGCTTCGTAACTTAAGCGTGTTTTGGTCATCAGTAGCTAGATGGCACAAAAAAGCCCCGCGTTGGGCGTGCTCTACAGGCTTTTGCCTCTAGCTTTTCAATGAGCCCCATCTCCTCGGAGTGTCGTCTCCCCGGCGCTCGCACTAGTAAACTCATAAATTGGTAGTGCACGAAGGTCATTTCGCTCGCTGACACAGCCACGTTTTGAAAAAAAAAAAAAACACACTGTCCCCACACCAAGTAGTAAGAATTGTGACAGTTGTTCGCGCTTTGCCCGAGTATAATTGTGCATTTGTTTAGTGCATCTTCCTTTCTGTTTGAACAGCGCACTTTAAAGGAACACTAAAAAGCGAAATGACGTTTTGCATATTACAGTTGAATCTTGATAATTCGAACTTGAAGGGGCCCAAAAATTAGTACGAATTAAAAAAGTTGAAACCCGTGAAAGCTAAATAAACGGAGGGCTCTCCATGCAGTGGCGCATGTGCATTGAGCTAACACATGAGGGGGAAGTTTCAGAAGACGTACATTTATTCACAAATCGCAGGACATCCGTTATTAATTGATGTAATCAGTGGTGCACGTCTGCACACGTTTGCCTTGCAGCGAGTCAATCAATTTCGCATGCAGCTTGCAAACCATTCAGCTTCAGCATTCTCCTGGCAAGAGAAGTTGCGCGTGGAAATGTACAGCACCGACACTTTCTAAAGACGACGACAACAACGACTGCATAGCGGAGCCTCCCGGAGTCTCCCGCTCTCTGCTACGCAGCTGCAGCATGGCCAGCACGTGATGAGAAAGGAGGAGCGTCTCAACGCGGAGAGAAGCAGACCGGCATTTGAGAGATAACCAATACTCCATGGCAGCTTTTTTTTCTTGCTCTATTCGCGCGTGTCATTGAAAGGAGAAAGGTTACGTGGCAGGGAAGGAAAAGGGGGATGCGTGGCACCAGCGCGTGAGAGACCCTAACCCCCCTCAAGGCGCAGAGCCGTGCTCCTGCAAAGGGCAAGGGCTGCAGAATATAGTGCCCTTTTTCTTTCCTTCACCCACACATTCATTCAACCCAGCGACAGCTTTCTTTTTTCAAAGACGATAGTCTTTTTTGGGGACCTTCAACGCAAAAAGTTTGGTCTGTCTGTATATTTGTCTGTTTTTCCACTCTTAACGGCATCGGGTACTTGAAACGGCCGACCTCATCCGCAGCACCACCAATGTTTCGACGTTCATGCTGCTCGAACGGCGAACCAAGTCATTTTTTTAACAAGTTTGGCCACTTTCACTCCCCTTAATATCAAGTGTAAACGCGCCGCGCTAGCGGCAAGAGTGAGGAAACTACGGCACTTTACTAATAGACGGTGAAGGTAGAAAAGTTCAAAAGAACACCATAAACTATCTTCAGCAAGAAGGAGTTGCCAATAAAGTTCTTGTTGATCTTCAATACCTATTTTAACATGTGTTTGGTTCATACCAATTCGGGATTATACAAATATTTTGCGTGCCCTTTGAATTTGTATTATCGAGATTCTGCTGTAGTAGATTCCACCACATCTAGGCGTCGAGCCGCGACTAAGTTCCAGATTTCCTCTGTCATCAGTATTGCACTTCTCTGAAAGCGGACATTGTACTGATCTCGTTGTGCTGCCAATTACTTGAGCCAAAGTCGTGGAAGCACAAAGAAAATGAACCGCCGGAAAAAACGTTGCGAACAATAGGCTTGGATTCGATCTTGCCAGCATACACATGTTGCCAGCATGAGGTTGGAAGATCGCTAGGCTTGTCGCAGCCATTTTAATGAGCCAGTGGGGCGGCCCCACCAAGGCGCGATTTGAGGTACCTAGATTATAATATGGACCCCGAAATCACTTAAGACAAATTTTGAAAAAAAAAACTTGCATTACATTTGAGTATATGATATATGGCAGCATATGGTAGTGCACAGTGATGTGCTGCACCTTGCTTGGCAGGTCGCTAGGATGCATCAAGCCAGGAAACTTGACAAGGATGGCTTGGTACGACGAGTGATTGTCGATACTGGGCACCTTGATGCCTGGTTGTTCGCTTACCTCATGCGGAATGTCCCATTGTCGCGCCAATAAGCCGGTCGTTGCAGCAGCAATCTCGAAAGAGGTATGTAGTGAGCCAGAAAATTTGAGCTGATGATTGGCTCGGCAATGTCGGCGATGACAAAGTTCAGTGAAGGTCGCGGCGTAGCTTCTTGAGCTGGATGTGCAGGCGCAGTGTGCTGAATGTCTTGATCGTGAACCGGTCTACCGTGCCGAGCGCGAAAAATGTTGCCGAGCGAGGACCACGAGTAGCAGCAATAGTCGGAACCACTGTAGACTAGGTAACGATGCTTTGTGATTTGGTCGGATATTTTCGGGCTATAGATGATACGATTCCATGCAAATGGGTAGAATAGCGAACTCTGGAATGACGGTGGAAGCTGTACTCAAATGTGCACGGCAAGGTGCAGGGATAAGGAATTGTAGCAAAATGGCTCCATTGGTGCAGCTGGACCACCACTGGTTACTTCCATCAGCGATAGTTTTTTTTCCTTGTTTTTCACCACTGCACCTTTCTGTTTATATGTGTTAAGCAGCTTCGGTAGAATCCTGCCAGAGGGCTGGCAGTACAAATAATAAATTTCTCAAAATTCAGGAGACTCCCAGGCAAACAGAGAGAGAAGTAATGTCAGCACCAGTAGTACCATAATTACTCTTATCTAACACGCACCTTTTTTCCTGTTAAGCGAGTTAATAAATTGCATGCGCGTTAGAATCGAGTACGAAAAAAAAAGGAATACAGTCATTCTATTGCCATCGGCATTTTCAAAATGGCCGCCCCCTACGTGCGTCGGCATGGCACGTCGGCTATTTGTGCCAATGTGTTTCGCATGTGCGGCACTTCGTACATGTGCTGAGGAGTTCATCATCTTGTAGTGCATTAGCATCGACGGCATGGAAGGTCCGACTCCAAAAACTCGACGAGTGCACCATGATGCCGCTTTTAAAAGAAAAGGCATCACGTGTGCAGAAACGGACGAAAATCGGGCCGCATCGCGGTCGTTTGGAGTTCCAGAAACGTGCGTGCGGGACTGGCGAAAACAAAAGCAGAAGATTGGCGACAACAGTGGCTACCTGCTTGGGTTAATCGGGAATGCCGTTTAGACGCCTCTTTACTTCGACATGCCAGGCACCACAACCGTTGAGAAAAAGGGGCGAAGCAAGTTCGCGTGCTGACATTGGGCCACGGAAAAACTAGAGTGACGGCAATGCTCTGTTGCTCATCAGATGGGCACAAGCTTCCCCCGTACCTCATATTTAAACGGAAGACACTTCCGAAAAGAGTCATTTTCCCAAGTAGTGTGATCGTGCGGGCCAACGAGAAAAATAGGTGCGTGTTACAATCAATGTCTTACCTTTTTTTTTTTTTTTTTGTCGTGGAAATCGGGTGCACGTCAAAATCGAGGGCGCGGTAGAAACGAGTAAATACGGTAGTCCTGGGGCCCCTATGATACCATGGGAGCAGTGTTGCAGTAATGTGAATAAACAATGATGGGGTTTAATGTGTCGTAACAATATGTTTATGGGACGCCGTACTGGAGGGCTCCGCAAAATTTTGACCACCTGAGATTCTTTAACGTGCACCGAAACGTAAGCACACGCGCCTCCACTGAAAACTTGGCCTCCGCAGTCAGGATGTGATCGGGAACCGTCTCGCAGTACATAAGAAACCTAAATGCACAGCCGATGCAAGTTACGGCTTGCGTCAAGCCTTGCGCTTACCTCTGAGGGGTGGTTGGAGGTTCCGACAGGAGCAAATCAGCCGCTGCACCCCTTCCACTTGCTGGCAGCGCCTTGCCTCTCGCTCGCCTTCCTTCTTTTTGCCCAGGCGCATAACTGCACGCAATCGTTGCAAACATCGTTAGCAGTCAGAAAACTTGATCAGCTTCTTACCAGACCAGTTAATGCGTGCTTACTAGAATACACAGGACACCAGAGAAGGAATGCGAGACAAAAATGAGTCTACTCACTCAAACTCACTCGCACTCAAATCGAGCCATGAGCCTGAAAGGCCCCGCCGGTCACGAGATCAAATCCCGGCTGCGGCGGTTGCATTTTCGATGGAGGCGAGAGTGCTGTAGGCCTGTCAGCTCAGAATTAGGTGCATGTTAACAAACCCCAGGTGGTCGAAATTTTCGGAGCCCTCCCCTATACGGAGTCTCTCATAATGTTGTGGTGGTTTTGGGATGTTAAACCCCACAAATTCATCCATGAGCATGAGTGAGCCCGGTTGGAAAAATTTTCATGCATGAGTGTAAGTCAGAGTAAGCACCGAGTAATCACTCAAGGATTTTAGCTGATTTAGACTATGTAATTTACTTGTACGGTTGTCAGCATCAAAGCGTGTAAGATGGCCTTGGCGTTCATAACATTTGTTTCTGGACACTTACACGATGCGGTTTGTCTGATAAAGGGTACTATGCCGCAAGTGATTGTCCAGAAGTAATTTGAAAATGAGCCCTAAAATTTACACTTCTTTCCTTGTTACAGTCGACAATGCATTCGATGTGCAACATTTAGCACATAAAATGCATTGTCGACTGTAACAAGGACAGAAGTGTAAATTTAAGGGCTTGTTTTCTTCGTTAGACACAATATTATAATTAGAACTAATGATGCAAAGGAAAGTATAGGGGGAACTTATTAGTAGTAATTGTATTCAGTGGCTGAGATAATCGACCAATACTGAGTTAACCTTGAAATTTATTACAAGACTGCAGTACAATCGCAACCATCGTGAAACATCCACCTCAACCTGCGTATTTGAGTACTTTTGAATGTTCAAACAAATATTGCATTTTGTCAGATAGTGATGTAATGTCTGTGTTTTTGTTGGGCCCAAGACCACCATCCAAGGAATTCAATCGATCCACGATTGCACACAGAGACAGACAGAAATATATTTACAGTAAGACATGCAAATGCTAATAATGCCTAACTAAAGTTAGGCTGTCCCGTGCAGTCCTTTCACTTCGATCCAAATTTAAGTTATTCAATATCAATGCATACCATTTACTAACTGCATGTCACCCATTGCAAAGAAGGTGTCACTGCAGTGAAAGAGTACTATATTATGAATACACCTTTACAGAAAAAATCTGAACTGTCGCAAAGGTCCAGTAAGAGTTTCATGAACATATTGCCCTGGCTTCCACTCATCAGTTCTTAAGTTTTAAAGCTTTTTATACCAGCTTATAAGTATCATAACTTTTAAGCAGGACGCATTTCACAGGTCGTAACTTGCATTCTACCGAGTCCTGCTACTACACTCGAACCTCGCTAAAACAAAACTTACAGGGCACAGAAAAAACTTTGTTGTAGTGAAACCGAACAAAATATAGCCGACCAGAGCTAGCAAAACAAGAATATTTTTATTAGAAAAATTTAAAAAGCGTTGGCTGCTTCCTTTTTTTCCCAGCAGGGTCTAGACATATATCTCACACATGCACAGCGACACCATGTTGAAAAACACGCTGAAACAACAAACACAACGGCTTTTGTGAGCGAACCTGACAGTTGCATTAACACGCTAACAACAGCAGCTGTCTATCGTCAAAAGGCATCCGACAACTCCAAGATGCAGGCTGTTAGGAATTCGCTGTCTCGCGACGGTAGCGGTGGCCGAAGAGCGGTGAGCTGTCGAGCGGACTTCGCTGAAGCCTTAGCCCGAAGGCGAAGCAGGGAGGCAATCCGTTTTGAAAACAGCAACAAGAAGGAGCGCTTACTGTAGCAGGTTGTCGTTTGTACAGAGCCGGCCAGCACGACAACGCCGGCTGGGGCAAAATCCCTCTAAAACATGGGGCCGGCACGGCCTTAAATAGCGTTTTGGGACTCTTCTGAGAAACCAGTTCCCCGGAACGGCACAGTGGCTCGGCTGAGGAGACGCAGCCATACCCGGAACTGCAAGGTGGTTCGGCGGAGGAAGCGACATTATCCCCGGAACTGCACGGTTCTTCTGCACGGAAGGCGGCGATGGGAGGGGGGGAGACAGTTCGTCGGAACAGCGCTCGATCTCGTGAGACGTGCTCCCGAACGAGGAACATGTCTGTGGCACAACAGCACCCCCGCCGCCAGACAATGCATCCGGAGTTTTGAGCCGTCAGCGCGGCTCGGAAGGAGGGATGCTGGTTGACCGTCGGTAGCCGTTCCGCTCTCTCCGCCCGTTGAGACTTCCATAGGCCTGCAGAGGTTCACTGGAACGACGGAGTCGAACACAAAGCCGAACCACTCTGGCCAAAGCAAGCACCCTCCAAATGCTGATCAAATCGCCAGACCAGCAGGAACCAAATGTTTCCTCGAGATTACGCTGGGCTAACAATTACCATCACGAGCAACGAATCTCGGGAGGAATACACAGTGCTGAGACTCCTTTACAGTGCATGACACTGCTAAACCAAACAGAATTTTTGTTTTCGTGAGCGATTCTCGATTGTGACCCGGGCAGATTGGGGATGATCGAAGCTGCTGAGGTTAACTCAATTTGGCCCCGAATCTACAATTTAGAATACCAAGAACACCCGAATCACGCACATTGGCGTATCTTGTGAGCTTCAGACTGCTAAACAAAACAAAGTCATTCGATAAGCCCTAACTCAAGGTGCTCAGCCAATGAGCATCCCAACAAAATAAAACACGCTTGAAAAGTAAGAAAATAACAATGAAAATCAAACTTGCGCATGTTAAACAAAATAAAGGGCAAAGTTGACCTACATTGACGCGCATAATAACATGTAATGTCAAACACAGAAGGCATCTTAAACAGGGGCTTTTACTATGCCCTCTCTGTTAAAATAAAACACACTGACTGTTACCTTTCGAAATATTATGGAAACAAGATAATCAAACAAACAAATCAATGTCAGCTTTTTCGATGAGAAGGAAAGTAAAACTTACAAACATTCTGACGCCTTCCTTGCTCAACGGCTGAAGACAAAACTAGAAAAGTTATTTTCAAAGCTGATTACAATATTCATTCTTCGTAACGGCAAGACGGGGGCCCTCTCAGACGAACTCTGGGGAGTCGCGCACTCCATAGCTTTCGAGTGATCCGGTCTTGACAAAGGCACAATGACAAATCTGTTTTCGGAACTCGGTAGCACCAACTTTCGATGTACAGCCGCTTAACTCGAACAAGGGAGCATCTGTCCTGCGTCCTTTACCCCGCCCGTTCGAATTGTGACCATTTTGCCACGGCGGGGAACAAGAGCCTGTGTTACGGCTCAGGCATAAGCTATGCTTCCCTTCCTGGTTGCCTCTACGCGGCAGAGAAAAATATGAGACCAGGCGATGATCTCGGCGTCCGAATTTTCCTGAAATTCGGTTTTTCTTGACGCACTTCTCGCTTAATCTCGATCTCTGCAACAATCTGCACTTCGAACATTTCGTAGAGGACCTTTTCGCGATCCTACGCCTAGCCCTGAACCTGGCGTCTCGACTAATGACGTCACAGCACTTAACAGCGGCTTTAGCGCGCTTGGCGCCAGTCGTCTTTACCGCTTTACGCTTACACCGACGCCTCTTTCTGTTCGAACTTCTCACAATACTGGCAGTCTCGACACACTTACCCATAAGTGTGCTGCCTTCTTTGTGTGGAGTCGAAGCTCGCGATTTGTTAGCTAGCGTTCGCTTGGGCCTGTTGCTAGCTGTCTGTCTGACAGAACGGGAGTCCCGATGACTTTGAAGCTAACAAGCGCGCTTACAGAGCTTTCGATCGGTGGGTGTCTATCGCTGTCTTCGATAGCCCTTGTTTTCTGGCCTTCGAAGTCGGCATCATGCTCTCCTTCACGAGCTTTATTCCCTAGCGCTTTATGTCGCGCTTCCTGCTCAAGCTTTTGTCGGCAGGCATCAACCTCTAGCGCCCTGCGACGCGACTCGTTGTCAAGCTCTTTTGTACGCGATTCATCTTGATCATTTGCGCTGCGAAGCGGCTCCATCTCCAGTGCTTTCTGATGTACCTGGGCGTCCTTATGTATGCGATGGGCCTCGGCCCCTAACTCCTCGCGGTGCACCTCAGGGTCACGCTCTCTCCGGCGCCCTTCGGCGGCTTGTGCTTCGCGACGGGCCTCAGCCTCCATAGCGTTTCAGCATGCCTTATCTTTACGCGCTTCCACCTCCATCGCCTTACGCCGCGCCTCATCTCGCTCTCTCTGACGCACATTGGCGTCCTGCGCTTTGCGATGGGCCTCAATTTCGAGCACTTTGCCGCGCGCTTCAGTGCTGTACTTGTATTCTCGACTTTCGCAGTCGGCAGGACTCAGGGCAGCAAAGTGGCAGAACACAGCGTATTTAACCCTATCGAAGTTATGCGCTTCCTTGGCATATAAGCGCTCCAAAATGCTTGCGACTTTGCAGGGAAGCAACGTGGCAAGATTCACCGACCATAAATCTCGCTCAACACCAACATCGTCACAGACCTCTTCAAAATTAACGAGAAAAGACACGATGTTCTCGTCCATTCTGAAGAGTCCGAGTCCGTATTGTGCTCGTTGCCACTTAATCGCTTCAATTTGACAATCAAGCTGCTTCATTCTGAGAGCATGCTTTCTCTTTTTGCGACTCTCTTCGGCCTTCCATTGTTCGTGCCTTTGAGCTTCGAGCTCTTCGTGGCTTTTCTCGGCCTTCTGCTTTTGCTCACAAATAAGCTCCCAAAACTCGTCAGCTTCCTCGGCCGTCACATTCTCTGCCCGCATCACCTCAGAATCGCTTCCCTTGTTTTAGCGGACCCGGCGGAAATCCCCATGGCTCTACAAATTTCAAGGAGGTCCTGCACCAGGTACTGCTCCATCGCAATCTCGTCCCTCGTGATGCTCTACTACTGATATTCATCGTACTCCAAA